TGGTACCAAGGTATATAAAATCTTTGACTACCTCGTAGCTGTAGTTCTCAAGTTCCACAGTTGGTCCGTTAGCCGAGATTAAAAAAGATTTACAAGGTCTTGTGCGAAAGGCCACGTTCCAAGATGTTGTTTTCTACTTGGCCATTCCATCTGATGCGTGGCATTCCCCTTCTACGGGAACCATGAGTAGGCTCGCTTTTATATGCCTTTTGAGCTGGGGCATTGTCATTCATTCGCACAACATCGCCTAGCCATCGTACTCGACTGACTATGTCGATGTCCGCATACAAATTGTAAAGCGGTTCAAAAGTGGTTCATTCGACGCCGATTTTCAATGTCAAGTAAAATGCCCGTAGATCCGGAGAATATAATACACAGGAGCAGCGCAAGTACCCATGCTTCAGATCCATATAACAGCACGGCGTGTAGTATCAGCGTCTTACTTAGACCATAGTAGCATCGGCTGGACATAACAATCCTTCTCCGAATTTCAAAATTGATGTCATTCGTTTTATTTATGGCGCTGCCAAGGTATATAAAATATTTAACTACCTCGAAGCTGTAGTTTTCAAGTAACACAGTTGGTCCGAGTCCACTGGACGTCTTGCGCGTTAATACCATCAGCTTGGTCTTTTCGCCGTTTACTGTCAGACCCATTTTGGCAGACTCCTTCTCAAATCTGGTCAAAGATTGCTGTTACCGCTCGCAATGTTCAATCCATTATATCGATGTCATCGGTGGCGTAGGCGAGTAACATGTGCTGTTGTGTGGTGTACAGGGTGCCATTTCTGTTCACCTTTGCCTCTCGTATGACCTTTTCCAGCAGGATGGTAAAAATATCACACGACAAACTGTCACCATGTCTGAATCTTCGTTCGGTATTGAAGGTCTCCGAGAGGTCCTTTCCGACTTTAACTGCTGATCTTGTGCCTGTTAAAGTTATTCTGCAAAGCCGTATTAATTTTGCAGGAATGCCGAACGTAGACATGGCTTTAAACACCTATGAACGGTTAGAGCTCGAGTCAAATGCGGCTTTATAGTCGACGAATAGGTGGAATGTGTCGATGTGTTTTTTGTGGGTCTTTTCCAGGATTTGGCGCAGAGTGAAAATCTGGTCAATGGTGGAATTGGCAGGTCTGAAGCTGCATTGGTATGGTCCAATAATGTCATTTACCATTGGTTTCAGTCGTTCACACAGCGCACTGGATAGCACTTTATATGTGATGAGAAGGAGGCCTATTCCTCTATAGTTGGCAGATATCGTCTTTTCTCCTTTTTTGTGCACGGGGCAGAGGATGCTGAGGTTCCAATCATTGGACATACATTCTTCTAGCCAAATTGTACTAATCAGCTGGTGCATGCTCCTGACCAGCATCTGATCACCAGTCTTGAATAATTCGGCTTGTAAACCATCGGAACCTGCTGCTTTTTTGTTCTTGAGCCGATTAATTGTTTTCATGACCTCATCGGCTCAAGAACAGTAAAGCAGCAAGAGCCGACGGGTTACAAGCCGAAGATACCCCAGAACCATCATCTCTGATTGGTTCTGGGGTATCTTCTTCACCGCCACTATTTGATACCAGAATTTTGTCAAAATGCTCCTTCCAGATCTTCAACACGCTGTCTGTATATCTGTCACCAGGTTTCCTTCTTCATCTCTACAGGAGAATGTGCCTGCACCAAAACCTTCGTTATGGTGTTTCCCTCGTTGGTAAAATTTTTCGGACTTCATTCTGACTCCTGTACGTCTCGATATGCTCCCGCTCACGTTTTTCTTGTTCTTTCTTCTTTTTTCTAAAAAAAAAACGTTTCTCCTCTCTTCCATTTCTCCCGATAATTCTCCATCTCACTGCGTGTTGCTGCCGTCTACAGGGTTGCCCATACGCTGCGTTTTCCACATCATTACGACACTCCTGATCGTACCACGGATTTCTTGATGATTGATTACTATTCTGACCTCATCTTGGCTAGGTGGTATACACTCTATACCGTCATCTATTATTGGTTCTGGAGTATCCTCTTCACCGCTACTATTTGATACCAGAAGTTTTTCAAAATGCTCCCTCCAGATCCTTAGCACGCTGTCTGTATCTGTCACCAGGTTGCCTTCTTCATCTCCACAGGAGGATGTGCCTACACCAAAACCTTCGGTTTGGTGTTTTATCCGTTGGTAGAATTTTCGGACTTCATTCATTCTCCTGTACATCTCGATTTCCGCACGCTCGCGTTTTTCCCGTTTTTCTTTTTTTTCTGAAAACACGTTTCTCCTCTCTCCTTTTTTTCCGATAATTCTCCATCGCATTGCGTGTTGCTACTGTTTGCAGGGTTGCCCTATATGCTGCGTTTTTCAGATCAGTAGCATTTCGACACTCCTGATCGTACCACGGATTTCTTGATGATTGATTGCTATTCTGACCTCATCTGGGCTAGGTGGTATACACTCTATACCATCATCTCTTATTGGTTCTGGGTTAGCCCCTTCACCGCTACTATTTGATACCAGAAGTTTTTCAAAATGCTCCTTCCAGATCCTTAGCACGCTGTCTGTATCTGTCACCAGGTTGCCTTCTTCATCTCCACAGGAGGATGTGCCTACACCAAAACCTTCGGTTTGGTGTTTTATCCGTTGGTAGAATTTTCGGACTTCATTCTGACACCAGTTCCGCACGCTCACGTTTTTCTTGTTCTTTCTTCTTTTTTCTGAAAAAAAAAACGTTTCTCCTCTCTTCCATTTCTCCCGATAATTCTCCATCGCACTGCGTGTTGCTACTGTCTGCAGGGTTGTCCTATACGCTGCGCTTTTCACATCAGTAGCATTACGACACTTCTGATAGTACCATGGATTTCTTGATGGTGGTCTCAGGTACCCAAGTGTTGCTTTTGCTGCAGTTTCTGGGGGGTGGACAATTCATTGCCATTGTGCTTCTATACTATTATCGGGGCAATGGGTGATTTCGTCAAGCAGTTGGGTAAGTTGATCGGAGTTGACCTCGGCTACCTGTTGTGTTTGCAGCTTTTCGAAGTCGAGTTTCCATGTTGTGTTAGATCGCACCTTTGTTGTTACAGTAAGACGGGTGTGAAACTTGGCTGCTACAAGGTAGTGGTCCGAATCGATATTTGCTCCCCGGATCGATGGGACGTCTAAAACACTGGATGAATGCCTTCCGTATATCACAACATGATCGATTTGATTTCTCTTTGTTCGATCGGAAGAAATCCAAGTGACACTGTGTATATCGATATGCTTGAATCTGGTGCTGCTAACTATCATGTTTTTTGCTGCCGCAAAGTCAATCATGCCGTTGTCTGATGTTTGTTCATGGAGGCTGAATTTTCCGACGGTGTGGCCAAAGATATTTTCCCTTCCGATATTTGCATTAAAATCTCCTAGCAGAATTTTAATGTCATGGCTAGGGCAACGATCATATGATCATCTGATTTACTTACGGCAGTCCCATTCCATCGCATTTCCTGTAAGGCAATAATATCGGCTTTGTACTTCTTGAGTACAACGTGCGCACATTCCAAGTGCAGATTCGCAGCTCGTGGTCCTTTATACGTTTGCGAGGGTCGTCAACATTAAGGGGGGGTTGGTTTTCTTTTTCTTAGCTTTTTCACAGTAGGTTCGGTTTTCCGAGAGTGGGCAACTAACCCGACGCCTCAACCCATATTTTGTAGTTCTTATGGGTGAATTCGCGGCACATATTAGCTCACTATATCATCGGGTGATGAAAATAGCTCCCCAGGTGGCACCGCGTGGAGGTCAGTGTCCACAATTGAGATGGAAGAGGGACCAAGATAAGCCTGGTCTTCACCATGTTAAAGCAAATCAGAGCCGTTGCTTGGTATATATCATCCCCTACGCCACTCCCACGCCATAGACAGAACCTTGAAAAAATATTTTTAAAAAATCCATCCTATTCTGTTGCAAATATTTAAAAAAAAATTCCTTTTAGGAAACTTTTAAGTTCCCTAATTTTATTATAGACTCCTTCAACAAAACATCTCTGTTTATGATATTTACAACTGCAGTTTTTATTGGTGTAGTTATTGTTGTTGCGGTGGCATTATTCCGAACTTACCGAACAAACCCATTGCATTGCATTGTGGATCAGAAAACAATATAAAGTAATGTTTGGCTCGAGAGAGGCGCGTGCGCTAATTTTTTTGCCGTTTTGCCTCCATTGATTATATATAGTATATGTAGTGCTCTTCTTCTTCATCATGTTTTTCTGCATCTGTATACATACATAAGATTGCAGTAAATATGTGTTTTCCCATGATCGGGGAGGGGAAATGATGGGGGGATAATTTTGAGGAAATAAATTTTCGGCGCTTTTTTGCCAACCGGCATTATAAATGCAATCAATATACACTAAAGGTGCTTACTCTCTCCCTCTCTCTCACCTACCCTCTCTCGCTCTTGCTCCCACTCCCTTTCCATTGTTTGGTTTGTTTGCAGTTAGGTGATGGGGGGTTTTGTTGATGATGGAGCCAGCCAGCCAACCATTGTCGTGTGAGTCGGAATGTGTGTGTGTTGTGTGCAAGTTCTCTTTTGCACGAAGAGAGAGAGTGTGTTTGGGCAAACAGAGAATTGGCAAAGGCCTTTGAATGCATTGCATTGCCTGATGCAGTGTCAGCAGCAGTAGTTACTTTGCTCTTGCCATTGCCACTGTTGTTGTTTGTGTTGTTGGCTTGCGACTGTTGTTATTGGTGTTTGTGTTGTTGTTGCAATGCATCCACATAACTCAAGCATGCAGTTTTTTGGGGGAATTTTTTGTTTTTGTTGCCTTTCTTGTTATTCTCTGAGCACCAAAGTTTTGTGAGTGAATGAGTGCTGTGTGTTGGGTGCGCTTTCCTTGTCCATTTCGACAAGTGTGTTTGCAGATAATGGCGTATGCTTGAGCATGTCCGTACATGTGTGTGTGCATGTTATTTGTTTGCCTTCGCCAACTTTGCGCGGGCAATCTCTATCTGCCGCCTGCATCTTTTTTGCTTTAATTTTCATTTAGTACGTCGCTCACATTTCAACTGTTCGGTAGGGCATTGGCGTTTGTTGTTACGTCGTTATAACGTTACGTTTTTTGTGCATTTGTGCTCTGCTTTCTTTTTTTATATTGTGTGCTGTTGTGTATTTTTTTTATTATATCAGTTGCGAATTAATTCAGTGTGTTTTTTATTTTGGTGCCCAACAATTCTTGAGTTGTTACTGTATGAGGCAGTGCCGATTTTTTTGTTTTGTAAAATGTGTTTACAGTTCTTCTTCGGAGTGGATTTTTTTTCTGGCAAAATGTTGTTGTGAGAAAAATGATTTTTTTCTGAATACCAACAAAAAAGGAACTACTTTTTTGGAAGTGTCTTTTTCTTTTTGATATATTTTTTTATTTTGGGTTCCAATCCGGCAGAGTGCGTGTGCGTAGTTCGTAAAGTGATTAAGATGAGTTTCGATTAAGTCGTTTTTTGGGGGGTTTCCTGGACTTGGAGTAAAAAAAGAAAATAAGAAAAATTATGTTGTGCTAAAGCAGAATTTTGGATTCTCATTTTTCAATGGAGATTTTTTTTTTTATTTTTTGGAGAAGATTTTTTTGTGTGAGGAGCCGCAGCTCAGGTGCTGACGAAGGCACCTTGGCTTAAGTGAGAAGAGTTTTTTGTGCAGCAACAGAAACAATCTTTGTGGTGATGCTGAAGAAAGCGAACTTTACCCAGGAGCTGAAGGAAATAATATTCATGGATGGGGTTTTTTGGGAGCTGAAATCTTTGCTGAGGAGCCGAAGAAGGCCTTGGCAGAAAAACTGAGAAGAGATATTTTTTTCTGTGGAGCAGCAGAAAAAAAATCATTGTGGTGATGTTGAAGAAAGTGACCATGCATGGATTTGTTTGGGAACTCAAGTCTTTGCTGAGGAGCCTGACGAAGGGAGCCTTGGCAGAAGAACTGAGAAGTGAATTATTGGAGGATCAGAAATAAGTTCTTAGTGGTGATGCTGAAGAAAGCGTATTTTACACATGAGCTGAAGAAAATAAATCTTCACAGATGGGTTTTAATAATGGGAGCTGTAGACTTTGCTAAGGAGACTTAAGAAAGCCACCGAGCTGTGAGCAGAAAGAAGTCATCGTTGAGGAGCCTATAGAAGGCACCTTTGACAGATGTACTGAGAAGCGATGTCAAGTTTTTTAAGACATCAGTAACTTCTCAGATGAGCTGAGGAGCCGAAGAAGACATTCTTGACTGGGTTGGGTTCTTAAGGTGGGAGCTGAAGACCTGAGTCTTTAGAATATCGGAGAAGCACATCATGAAAGGCGAGCTATAGAAGACCTCGAACTTTGGGGACCTGGATAAAAAGGGCAGTCTTAAGGGGGGAGCTGAAGGCCTTAGTCTTTAGAGTATCAGAGAAGCGCGTCATGAAATGCAATCTATAGAAGGAAGTGTAGATGTCTTTATGGACTTAATAAGAAAGTCTCCTGCTTCGATCTGAGGTGTGTGTTCCGAGAGAAGCTTATGAAGCCAGTCTCAATCTATATGGATAACTGAAAAGGGATATTTCAAGGACTCAAAAAAAATCCTTCTGATCGATACATTTCGTCGTGTGGTGTTTCTTTATAGACTCAATAAGTTAGTCTGCGGATTCTATTTGTGAAAGTGTGCAATCGGAGACAACCCGAAGAAGGCAGTCCCGATAGAGCTATAGAAGAACCATGGCCTTAATTGAAGTCTTTACGTAGAAGTGTTGCAACAGGAGCCCTTGTATGCAGGCTGAAGAAAATATATTTTTCAGACTTACTCGCAAAAAAGACCTACTGAGGCATATAAAAGCGGCCCACTGATGGTTCACTCAGAAAGGGTAGGTCACGAATTTGATAGAAAGATCAAGTGGAAGACAACATTTTGGAACATTCTGATAAGGATATGAGGAAGTCATTGGAAGTTCAACGAAGATATGAAGAGATTCAATTTGTATTTGGCGATTTTTCAAAGCGCATATATTTGCAAGGGAGGAGACTAGCTTAAATTTTTTAACAAGGAGCTTATGTAGGTTCCAATATGTACAGTAGAACCACATAAGAGGTCCAGCAACAATGGGAGAATCACACAAGATATGAGGTCACTGGAGATCCGATAGACATAGGAAGATATATTCGACTAAGAAATTCCGTTTATAACCGAAGTGTGCCTTAAAGATACCGACTGGTTTCCTATAGGAGGAACTCATATACGTTCCGATATATGTATTAGGATCTTAGATGAGATCCAGAACCATACAGATCGTCTAACAAGTATATGAGGAGTTTGTTGGATTTGGATGATATTCAATTTGTATTCGAGGAGGTTCTCAGTGGCCATACATATGTATAAGCAGACGTTGGGAAGTCTAACAAAGGTCCACAGAGCTTAAAATACCCCGATATTTTAAGAAGAAAGACCTTACAAAAAGGTCCCGAAAGAATCAGAGGCTCGACTCTTATAAAGGAACTTCTTTGAAGGATATGCAGGAGTTCGTCAAAGTTCTGACAGTACAGAAAGCATTTGTAAGAGGTCAAATGAATGAAAAGAAGTCTCTGAGAGGTCTGTGAAGCCGATACGATATTTTAATATTTTAAAATGAGTTTTTCATAGAAGGGCCATCCAGCAGTTAAAAAGTTTAGAAGGGGTTCGTCGGGAATAAGGGAGTCCATAACAGGCCCACCAAGGATATGCAGAAGTTCCTCAAAGTTCTGACATTTGCAAGATGAATTTGTAAGAGGTCATCATAAAGTATGTAGATGTCAGATTAGTATAGATCTCATTAGGGGTCGGCAATAAATATCACAAGTCTCTCAAAGTTCTACGGAGATTTCGATACTTTTCAAAGGAGCTTCTCATAAGAAGTACGTGTACGTAAGGAGCATATAAGGGGCCCAACTAAGAGTTGAAAAGTTCAGAAGAGGATATGCAGGAGATCCTCAATGTTCCGACAAGTACAGAGGGACCTTAAAGAGATTATAGTAACTTAGTAATGACCTCATTACAAATATATTTTATTCCACAAGCTTGAATTAGGGATTAAAAAAAATTCTCAACTAAAAACAAATTTTTCAAATGATTTTTTCTTAAAAAAAATTTTCATCAAGCACACGTTTTTAAAAAATATGTTCCATAAATTTCAATTTTTAGAAAATATATTTCTCTATAAGGGGTTGACAATTTAAAACAATTTTTTGTTATTTAATTTTTTTAATTAATGTATAAATTTTTTCTTTAAAAAAATTTCATACATTTGTTGTTGTTTTTCTTATAGAAAACATCATCACTGATTAATTTTCTTATAAGAAATCTCATCATTAATTCCATTTCTTGAAGAAAAGTCGATCACTGAGACTTTTCCTTACCTAAAACCCCCTTAAGTGATGAGTTTCCTCATGCAAATACTTTATCTCCCATCAAAAACAAAGATATCTCATATGTAAGCTCTTCAGTGCATCTCAACAACAGTACGCGCTCTTTTTCTACCGTCATCTCTCCCCCTCACGTGTACGTGTGTGTGTGCACCACACAGTTCAACAGCAAACCACATTACTCCACCCTCAATCTTAATGTTTCGCTGGCTACTACTCTACTCATCATCATCAACGACAGTATCATCATCGACAACAAGAAGAACAACAAAAGCAACAACAACCACAACAGCAACGACTATAACAGTGACGATGTTGTCGTCGTCGTCGTGGTTTTACTGTCGTGCTGTTGTTATTCTCTGTTTTCAAAGTTGCTGTCGTTCTTTTTCTTTTTATTAACTCCACTAAGTGAGTGTGCGTGTGTGTGTGCACGATGATGATGACTTCAACGGCAACGACGATGATGTTGTATTTGATGACGATGGTGATGATGGGGTTATGTGTTGGAGAGCATTATGTCTTGTTGTTGGTGTTGTGATCCCCACACTTATTATATACAGCAACACTTGCACACACACATGGTTGCTGGGGATAGGTGGCTGGTGGATGGTGGCTACACTTGCCTGCCTTGCTTGCTTGCATATTGCTTGGTCATGCATTGCACACACATATGTGTATGGCCGAGTGTCGTCGTTTTGCCTTCCTATATATATGTGTGTGGCTGTGTGTGTGTGTCGTGTCTCTGCTGCCGTTGAGGATGATGATGTCTACGTTTGTTTTTTCTGTTTATGTCGTGCGAGTGCTCTCGCTCTCTGTGCGCCTTTTCCTTCCTACAATACCCGGCATATACACTTACACACATATACATGTACACACGCAGACGAGTCTGGGCATGTTGTATGAGACTCAGAGCCGGCCGTTTTCTGTGGTTCTTGAACATTTACAAAAGATTTTTGCTTATATTCATCTTTTTGGCCGTTTTCGGTGCGTTTCGCGTAGCGCTTGGTCTACGTTTTTAAATAAAAAATTTTCTGTTTTTATTCAAGAAAGCAAAAATTCTTTATAATATTTTTTTTGTAACAACAAAGAAAAAAATGCAATTCTTTGGGGAATATTTTTCTTGGATTTTTTCTTCATGGGTCCTTACAATTTACTTTGTATGTGTGTGTGTGCAAGTTCTGTTTTAAGACGTTTTATTGTGGTCAGTCATCACGATTTAGTCTTCCTTTTCTTCTGTTTAACTTAAGAAAAAAAAAGAAAAGATAAAGAAGACAAACAACTCTGTGTGTATTTTTGGTGTGTGTAGATAATACAGAAGTAATGATTTAGTTGTCGTGTCGTGTGGATGGCTGGCTGCAGTGTGTGTGAGTGCTAAATAATGTGGTGTGTGCGAGAGATGATGATGAATTAGATCAATTCATTCGCCAAAAATTCTAAACAATTGTCGTGATGATGACGACAACAAACGATGATTTCGTTGTTGTTGTTCTTTTTTTTAATATTGTCAATGATGATAATAGAAAGTATCTAAACACGAGAGAGCCGTTTTGAAAGAGTGTGGGAGCTTAGAGATTTGTTGTTTATGATTTGTTTGTATACCGTGTGTGTGAATATTTTTTTGTATTTGCCGGCGCCGTTAAAATTTGTTTTTGTTAAAATATCTCTGCG